AGTGAAATATAACATTCTTTATTTTTATTAAGCAAATTGCTTTATGCAAGGCAAGGCTTCTATGACAGAGAGTGCAAGTTTCAGTCCTAACGCCGTACTTATTAACTCTAATCTTGGAATGCTGGAACGACACAAGTTTTCAACAAAGCGAAAGATCTTGACATTCCATCAAATTGTTCATTGTTATGAAAATAATTCATAACAATGAACTAAGTAACAAACTGTTTCAAATGTATTTTAAGAAGTGTCAACAAATATTTAAAGAATTGAATAAATAGTTTTATTAGTTTTTTTTAAACGTAAACAACATGGACCAGATCGTTTCCACCGGGTTCAACATTGGACTGTAAGGTCCCAAAGGTAACAACTGAGCTGGTGAATTATCAAACACCCTTTGCAAACGAGTGTGACAAGGAGCATTATCTGTTACGACGACCAAATCCTCCAAACGATTCCTGGATGTAACCCACTGGTGAAACATAGCCAACATCCACTCGTTACAGGAATCTGCTTTATATGATCCCCTGCGAGTTTCTATCATGATGACATTTGTAGTTGAAATAGCTGTGATCAAGTGTATGTTTAAACCTTTTGAAGCAGGTACTTTCATAATTGCTCTTTTTCCTTGTCTCGCGCGTCCTTGCGTTTTTCTACAAAAAAGGTTAAAATTTGTTTCATCCAACCAAACTATCTGACGACCATTTGTGATATGTTCGTTGATGTTTCTAACATATTCAGCTCTTTTTTGTTTGTTTTCATAACTGTTCATTGTAGAAGGTTCCTTGTGCACTTTTTTTAATGAGAACAATCTGCCTTCGAGGTAATTTGCTATTGCTGTTGTGCTAACATTTATGTTAAATTGTCTTAATATCTTTGTTTTGATGGCCACAAATGTTAATTGACAATCATTTTCAATCCATGTTAATGTTTCTTTGATTTGATCTTCGGTCAACTTTTTCGGTTTAAAACCTCCTTTTCCCATGAAATTTGAATTTCCGCTGCGAACCCAATTGTATGCTGTCTTATATTTGATACCTAGCGTTTGCGGGAGATTCACCCAATCTTCAAATCGCTCCGCACATTCAACAACTCTTCTCCTGTCATTTGGAGAAGATAAAACGTAACGTTTCCTTTCAACTTGTTCAGTTGTGTGTATTTCATGCCGACAAATCGGACAACTTGAATCTGGTTGTTCCAGAACTGGACGTAAACAAATTTGGTGACATAAATGTTGACACGGATTTAGCTTAATCACAGACTTTTGGGTCATAGTGTATTGGCATATAACACAACAATCTTTCAATTCCATTATTATTACTTGTGCATACAAAAGCAAAATTTAAGATTATAACTTAAATTCATGTCCAAAAAGACTTTTTGTAACAACCTACAAACTTAGACTGTGAATTTGCTATTTTAATTTATGTGTTCTCAATTACAAGTTACGATTTCTCAATTACATATTATGATTTCTCAATTATATCTTACGTTTTCTCAATTACATGTTGTGTTTCTTAATTACATGTTACGACTTCTTATTTACATGTTGTGTTTCTCAATTACATATAACGTTTTCTCAATTACATGTTGTGTTTCTTAATTACATATTACGACTTCTTAATTACAACTTTCATGTTCTCATTTACATCTTGAAAAGGTGTAGTAATACTTTTTTTTAATATAACTTTTTTATTTATTTATAATCCTTAAAATAATTAAGTTTTGACTGTTATTATTTTTGCAGTAGTAAAAAAATATGAGTGGGGCAGAAGCCAAGGGGTACAAGTGACAATTTTACCAAAATTAAGTTAAGTATAGAATTTGATAGAAGAAGCAAACAAAATTGTTGGTGGCCAAGGGATACAAGTGAATCTCTACCCTTTTTTTTTTTTTCATTAATTTTTCCAATATAATAAATTGATCATTTCATTAAAACAGTGTGCCCCAATGCATGTCTGTCCCAGTGACGTGAGTCGGGCTATTGGATTTCCAGTGCGCCCTATAATTTATGTTTTTAACAAGTAAAGTTCTCCATTGTCTAATCTAATAAGAATATCTACAATTAGTCACTGTCCCAATCTTTAAAATGATGTAGTTCTTAGGTGACTTTAATGTTTTTAAATTTATACCAGTCCATTACTTGCACTGTCCACTGCTAACGCATTTATCTTCTTTTTCAATTTACCGTCAAAACTTTCCAACTGGCTTTCAACAGATATTGTTAGAAATGTGTCTACTCTACCCTTGAGTACATTAATCCTAATTTTTTTTCATTACTCCTTGTAATTCAAGTTCTGCAATTTTTTTCAGCTTTGTTTGCAGCTTTTGAATATCCCAATCTTTCAACAACTTTTGAAGCTTCTCCTGATTATTACTGGTATAGTTGCAAAAGTTTATATTCAGGTGTAGCTGGAGCATTTTAAGTGCTGCATTTCAATTTTCTTATTTCATGGGTTTTAAATCCTGAGAAGACAGGAATATACAATCTAATTAAGTGCCTCCATAAATCTCATCCAATTTTTTTTTTGTACCTAAAACATTATTTGCTGGTTGAAGGTCATTACTTTTTTCATGGTACTTTTTGCTAATTCTCCACCCCAACCATTTTCAACAGGGCATGTTTGATAGCACTTCTTTACTTCAGAAATTTCAGCATGCCGTTTAACTTTACATCTAGTTGGTCATATTTCAAACATCCAGTTGGTTCAATTCCATTAGCTAATTTTGCTCAAAAAAACCTTTTATATAATTCATCATTCATCGATCCATTATCCATTAATCCACAACACATTGATCCCATTACCACTTTTTCCACACCATGTTGTTCATAAAAACCGCTACCTTATTTCTGCCAGTTTTTTAGTTTCAATTTTTGGCAGATCGGTTTAAGTTTCATTTACATTTACCGCCATCTCCTATTGTAACAATTCTTGATGTGTCATCTTTTTGTGTGCAAAGATGTTTGTGCTCTATTTTGTTTGCTTTCATGTAGGCAGACTTTATTGCTTCAATTTTACCGTTTCAAGTTCATTTTTTTTCTGACACTCAAATGAAAATGGATGACCCATTGACCCACTTTCATTATTGCTCATCATTTTATTCAATTGCTTGAAACTACCCTCTGCTATTTGGTGAGAAAGTTAGGGGGTGTTGAAATTCAATAATAATATGTGAATATTTTAGCATTTTATATTTTGATTGATTACTAATTGATATTCAACTAAAATGCTACCTTTTTATAAATTATTACTTGATTATATCATATGATATAGTATTATATATACTATATAATATTTATCAGAGATATCACAGATATTTTCCAACTTTAATTACCTTTTTACAAAACTGGCTAATTGCCACATTACCTGAGGTAATCTCAATATATGACAATATATATGACAATATATCAATATATGACAGCATAAGTCGATATATGATGCTAGAGATATTTATATTCCAATTTTATTATTTACATTTAAGTATTATTTACACTAATAACCTCGAGAACATTCTTATCTTATTCTTATCCTCATCCTCTCCATTCATTCATATCATCTTTATCCTCATCTACACCATACATTCTTACCATCTTCATCCTCATCTTCACGATACATTCATACCATCTTCATCCTCGTCCTTTCCATCTATTCATATCATCCTCATTCTCTCTATATAGCAAAATCTATTTTAATAATTTTAAACCAAAACAGATTATTTCATATAATATAGCAGTATTTTATTAAGTTCATTAAAAAAAAAAAAAACTCTTGATAGCAATCAATAACAAAAGTACAATTTTTTCTATGATCATGTAAGTATAAATTTATTTGCATATTTTATTTAAGTCTGATAAAAAAGATATTTCAATGCGGTTAGAAATGATGTAATTTTTAATGGTGTAATTTTCAGATGTATTTCATTATGTTATTTTTTAAATTATTTTAAATTGTTAATTTTAAATTGTTAACAACTAATGAAATCTGCTCCTGAAATCTTAAAAAAGTATTAAGTAAATCCAGAGCAAAATAGAATCTGATTCAAACTGGTTTTGTAAATCACATTTTGTACTAGGTTGACTTAATGTTCATTCAAAAATTATAAGTATAATTATTATTCACCACGATTTTTACCATAATTTTTATTTTAAGATGCCCTTTAAAATTCTTATTTTTTTAATTATTAGTTTTCTTTTTATTGTGTATTTTGTTTTTATCAGAAAGAAGTCAGACTTATAAAATTGCGCTGGTTCTGAATCACAGACAGTTATGGTTACCACTGTTCGGTGTTCTAGTTTTTAATGCTTTTTTTAATAACTGCAAAACCAACTACAATCTTTACTTTATTCTTAATTTAATATACTTAAAATCTTGTAAAAATAAAATACCTGAAAATGTCTCTAGAAATACCGATGGAAAAAAGTCTATGCAGAATTCTCACATTGAATTCTTTTTCATTTATGTTTTAAGGGTCTTGGTGAAATTTTTTGTGAGAGAATATTTTTAAAAAAATCCTGCGAAAAATAAGTCTTATTTCATTGTGACAAATTGAAAAATAGTGTTTTTGCAGTTAGAGGAGGAATTTAATTTTTTTTTAATTTAAAATTTTATAAAGAGGAACTAAAAATAAAAAAACTTTGTGATATAATAGTTCTTGTCTTCCAAGTTGAAGAAAAATATTGATTCTTTTTTGTAGGTACAAAAATGTATTTCTACTTCTTAAATTATGAATACAAAAACTTTCTATAGATAAAAAAAATGTGCAACAATAAAAAGGTTAAAAAGATAAGTGTGTGTATAGACAGTTAAAAGAATGAATGAATGAAATGAATAAATTTAGCTCTTCAGTTGCATTCATAACATTACCTTATTAAGCTTATTTATTATTAAAACCAAGTTTATTTATTTGGGCTAGGCTTTTTAAAAACTATATGAATATATTTTTAATACAAAATTTTTAAAGAACTTTTCAAAAGTATGTATCAGTATTTATTATAATTTTAGGAAGAAACGGATGTGGAACTCAGCAGTTTGCTATTATCTGATAAACATAGGATTTATAATCAACTCCTTCTATATATTAGTGTAAACAGAGAACAAGTTGTTGAAAGCTTCTCTATACTTGCTTCAAATGATCCTTCATACAAAGGTCCTAAAGATTTCAAGTCAGATCAAGATTTAGTGAGTTTTTATTTAAAATAATTATTTTTTATTTAAAATAATTTGTTTAATACTACATTGTTAAACATTTTACTTTGTTTTTTTATTTTCAAATAAGGCATTATTTTTGCATCCAAAACTGCTTGCCGTACTTGCATTTTTTAACTCAGTGCTTACAAACAATCCTAACTATGAAAAGAAGATTGCTCTAAAGAGTATAATTTGTTTATTTAATATTATGGGAGCAAAGTATATTACACCTGTACGCTTAAAAGTAATGGCTATTTTGAAGCTTGCTTTAAAGTTTAAGACAGAATTTCCTGAAATTTGCTGTTCTGCATGGAGTTGTTTTATTAAAAACATTGACATTGACTGTATTGGTCCATTACTTAGTCATCTTATTGCTGCAATTTTGCCATTATTAGATGATTGTCCTAATCAAGTTGCAGACATCTTTAACTTTTTAATTGTTGAAAACAGGTATCATTTTATTTTTGTTTCATTTTATTTTTGCATTATATATAATAAGGTATAAAGCATATAAAGTTTCCTAGAAACATACTTTCTATTTTTTTCAGGATACCTCTCAAGTTTTTCCCATACTCTGTGAAGCTAAATTAAAAAATTAAAAAAAAAATACAAACAGGCAGAAAAAAAAGTTCATTATGCAAAAAGCAATATCTGTAAAATTTAAAGAATTCAAATTTTTGAAAATAAATGTCCATGTTTTTCAATGCCAATATTTGATTAATTTATTAAAAAAAAAATTATGTTTTTTGATAAAGTTCACGTTTTTCCTATAAATTTAATAATGGTTATTTATTCTTTCACAGTGGGACAAAATTGTGTTTTTTGTGCCAAAATTATTATCAAAACTGTTATAAATTAATTATACAAACCAAAAAAAATTAATATCAAGTTCATATATATTGCTAAAAACTATAGTCTAAAAGAATTTTTTTAAATTACAAATAAAAGTTACAAATTAGATTTGTCTTTATTCTAGAATATAGAATTCTCGCAGATAAAAAGTTCAGTAACACCCGAAGGAATTTTTATTTTTACTGATAAAACAGTTTTTCTATAAGATAAAATAACTAGATGAGATGTACATCAAAGTCTTTTCATTACATCTTCATTTGTCTTTATTTTTAAATTTTTAGAGGAATTATGTTCCCTATATTTTCTTAATTCTTTATTTCTAGCTTCATGTACTTCTTTAATAAATAGACCTATTGGCAATAATAGACTTTCTATTACTTCTGTTCCATGAAAAAAGATCTGGTAAAGATCTGGTAAAAAAAGACTGAGGCATATGGTACAAGCATGAATACAATAGTACAAGCATGGTTAGATCTTTGCAGTCTCCAGATAAAATAAGCAAAATTTACAAGTATCTATTTAAAATCCATTTTGAAATCCATTACAAGTATCTATTTTAAAATCCATTTGATATGCAAACTAAAATTATGTGCAACTTTATAATTAGTTCTTTATTTATTCCTGTAATTTTGGCAAATTCATCTTCATTTGAAAAGGTTTTTCGAGCATTATTGCTGTCATTTGAATTTCTAGATCCTCAACATTTTGAATAGTTAACAATAAGTCCCATTTTTTTGTTGGAATCCTCTTTGTATAATAATTTTTTGTTCTTTAAGAAGAGCTTTGCATCTCCTTTTACTTGTCATTTTTTGATTGGTATCTTATATAATTAAAAAAGACACTCAAAAACTCATTTAACATTTTTCTTAGTAAATGAAGAATCTACACATTTACAGGTATTCCAGCGCAAATAAAGATGTGCTAAAATGTTCTTGTTTTCTTAACAATGTGATTGTTCTGATCAAAGGGCAACTCAAAGAATGTTAGCAAATGGCGGATTTCTCAAATATAATGAATAAAAAATGTTATTATTCTTTAAAGAAATGTAAACATCAAAATATTTCTTCTAAAAACAAATTTGAAATAATTGTTTCTTCCAGACATATATCTGTACAAAAAAGTTATTACAAAATATATTAGATTTTTAAGAAGTTATTAAAAACCTATTTTTGCAATAAAATACTAGAAATGAATATGATTAATTTGTAACAACTATATTTATTGCAAAAAGTTACAAAATATGTATGAAACATGGCCATTTACATACGGTGAGCATTAGATTTACATAATTAAATGTTTTAAGGATATTGGAGGGCGGTTTGATACCTGATAATTAATATTAATAGCAGTAAAAAAAATATTGAAAACTGTCACTGATAAAAACTAAGGATTAAACTTACATTAAATTGTTTTGAAAAGTCTGTGCAAAAAAAAGAATGCTAATTCAAAATAAAATGGTTAAAATGATCCTCAATAAAATTTGTTTAAAACAATAGTTGTGTAAGAAAGTTGATAATTAAAAAATGCGTTTTAAAACACATATCAAATTCATGTGTAAATAACCGCATAAAAAAATGTTTCAATTAATATTTAATGTTTTTTTCTCTAGATATTTCCTCTAATAAACATATTTTTTATCATAATGATAAATTTTCAGCTTGCAATGCGGACAATGATTTTTCGGTATGTTGGCACACTCTGTCTCACTGTGTGGTTGGGGTAAATGTTTTATACCTACTGACCAAGTAGGTGTAAAGTTAATCTGGCACTAATCTTTTTTTGTCATTCATAAACTAATTCAATTTATCAATGAGAAAGAAAAGATGATGGTAAAGCAGCATTTGTTTTTTCTATATGCTTTGAGCCCTTGTTTTTAAAATCCTATATGTACAGTGTCTCAAAAAATTATCCGACCAAACATTTTTAAAAATATTTTTTCTAAGAAAAGTGCTGTATTTTTGTCAATTTCGACTTTTTTAGTATATTCAAGATTAATAAAAATAAAAGAACATGTTTTAAATAGATTTTATTTATTTTAGTGTAAAATATGAATCACAAAGTTTTCAGTCTTAAAATAGGAAACTTAGGTCATATTTTTATTGTTAAAAAAATATTCAACCAAACATATTTTTTGTTCCACAATAAATTATTAAATAACAAAACAATTATTTTAATACTTTGTAGGGCCTCCCTTTCCTTGGATTACAGCTTCTAGACATTTAGGTATTGATTCGACTAAAGATTTTTTTTTCTTCTGGTTGAATCTTTTCTAAGGCTTCTTTAATTGCCACTTTGAGGTTTCCATCTTTTTTGGAAAATGACCAATCTCCAATTTTTTGGTCTAAAACTTCCCACAAATGTTCAATAGGATTAAGCTCCGGTGATTGTGTGGGCCATTCCAAGACCTCAACATTGTTTTCAGCAAACCACTCCTTGGTTTTAGTGGCACTATGCTTGAGATCATTATCTTGCTGAAATGTAAAATCAGATCCTAGCCAAAGTTTTCGAGCAGATGACTTCAAATTTTGCTTTAAAATGTTTCTGTATTGCACCTGATTCATTATAGTATCAATATATTGGAGTTTTCTGACACCCTTCTAAGCCATTGAACCCCATACCATCACATTACCGCCACCATACTTGACAGTTCCTCTCACGCAGCTTAATTTGTAGGCTTCTCCGGCTTTTCTCCAAATTTTTTGGTCTCCATCAGATTTCTTTAAGTTGAATTTTGATTTGTCGCTCCACAGGATTCTTTTCCAGAAAAGACTTAACAGCATGTTTTTGAACTTCTTAGCAAACTCCAATCTTCTTTTCATGTGTTTCTTACTCAAATATGGTTTATTACGCACAAGTCATCCTTGAAATCCCTGGTCTCCAATACGATTTCTGATTGTCTGATGGGATAATTTGATTCCATAATTCTCTTTAACTTGCTCAGCCAGTTTTCGAGCAAAAATGAAGCGATTTTTCTTGACTTGTATAATTAAGTTTCTATCAAAACTCTTAGAATTTTTTTTTTTGCAACCCTGTCCTTCTTTTGTGGCTGTTGTTCCGATCAAATTATACTTCTTCATTATGTCGGATACTGTTTTATGAGGAATTTCAGTCTCTTGCTGCACCTGACAATAGGTTTTACCCTGATTGACTAGATCGACAGCTAAATTTATCTGAGAAACAGTCCGGTGACGTTTACCTCCAACCATTTTACTTAAAAAAATATAAAACCTTTTTTTTATACGAAACTTTTTTTTTTACTACAAAAAAACAGTTTTTTGTTATGCAATTTCATTAATTGTATAAATATTTGCTAAAATATTTCAAATTTCACATAAAGTTAATTAAACTCACCTAAATATTGCTTGGTTGGATAATTTTTTTACAAGCCTATTCAATACTAAGTTTCTTTTAGGACAAGTAATAAACCAACTGAAGCATGAATCAAAAAATATGAACGCTAAATAACATAGTATTCCCTATAGAATTAAAATGACAGACAAAGTAAGTATTGCTATTTCTTCTTTTTAGTATAATTTAGAGCGTAAATATTTTTTTTTGTGAAAAAGTTATTTGATCGGATAATTTTTTGAGACACTGTAGATGAGCCGTCTTCAAATAACTTGACTGCTTTTAAGTCATGATTTGACATAACAAACCACTAACCAAACCTGAACATGTCCTTCTTGCCAGCATTTATTTAAAATAACATTTTTAGTATTTAATAGAATACTTACTTTTGCTGATCCTATCTAATTATGTTGAAAAAGTTAAGTATGGAGAAGCTAGATAAGTGTGATATCCCTAACCAGTTTCATATGGAGAAGCTAGATGTACTGGTTATTAACAGATCAACAAAGCTCACTGATAGGTTAGCTAAGTTGAATCATGTTCATGGTAGCTGAGATCACCATTTAAAGGATGGAGAAGTGGATTAGGGGAGATAGTGCCAGTCTGATATATTTAACATGATTTGATATATTAAAATTTTTGAAGTCAATTTGATTTAATTTGTCTTCTGATATAAAAAATTTTTAAAAGTTGAGGCTTCAAATAACATTAATATCTGTTTGTTTGTTTTTTTTTTTTTTTTTTTTTTTTTTTTTTTTTTTTTTTTTTTCTAATTTTAAGATGAAATTTACTATTTATAATGCTATCGACGGCAAAAGTAATTTTAAAAAATCTTCAATTTTGCAACATCTCAAACTCATTTTCTCTTTAAAGGACAAATTTATTACCGCATTGATGGTGTCGCTACGGGTTTTCCCTTAGCACCTATTCTTGCTAATCTTTTTATAGAAAATTTTGAAGATAATCATATAACAGAGAAAAACCAGCATTTTCTATTACTTTAACAACGGAAAAAAAAGTTGAATCAACAATATCTTTTTTGGACCTAACTTTCAATAAAACAAATAATTCCACAATCATCATTGTTTTTCATAAGAAAACTTTCTAGGGACTTTGCACAAACCTTTTTAGTTTTACTTCATTTTTATACAAAGTAAGTCTGGTTAATTGTTTTTTATTCGATAGAGCTTATTAAATAAACAACACTATTCTAGGTCTTAGTCATGGTTACTTTAGTTTAGTTCAGGTTATTCCGTAATCAAGTTTTACAAAAATGTTATAAAGTTTGACGGAGCTCCAGGCTTTGATATGCTGACAATTTTGATACATATTGTTCTATTATTTGTTATTGTTCTGATGCTGCAACTGTGACTTGAAAATATTGATAGACTTTGAGTTGGTAGTGTTATTGGAAAGCGCATTTCATGGTGCACAAACGTGATTTGTAAAAAATTCAAACAAATTCTTTTTACATCCTTTTCTTTTCACAAAGCCATGCTGAACTTTAGTAATTAAACCATTGGTTAGCAAGTGATCAGAGATTGATTTGTGTATTATTCCCTTAAGTATTTTACACGGTATTGATGTCTTCAAGACTAGACTTTAGTTACTATGCATCCCTTTTTGAATATTGACATAACTTCTGGTTTTTTTCACATATCTGGAACTTCCGGAGTTGCAATTGAGGAGTTGAAGTTAAGTGTTAAAGGGTAGTGCAAAAGCGTCCACATAATTTTTTAGTACTCTAAGTTGTACTCCATCAAATCTAGTCTCTCATCAGTCTAGATTTTACTTTTTGGTAATTGATAATCACTTCTTTTTCGGTACATTCAATGTTGGTTCAATTGTGGAAATCTGATATAAGACTTTCTGGCTCTATTTCATATACAAATTGAAAATACTGGTTTAGAGTTGAACATATTACCTGTTGGTTTTCTGTGATTGTGTCTTGATCAAGGTTGAGTGAGCCAATATGGTCATGTATTTGCATGTATTGCGAATATGGTCATGTATTTTGCATGATTTACACGGGCATGCAGTTTCTTTGGGTCAACTTTAAAGACACAATCAATATCCTTTTCATGTTTTAAAACCGCTAACTTGACTAATGTTTTTGCTATCTTACATGCTGCTTTATATAAACTATAAACAGTATTATGGGTTTCTTTACAAGCCGATATGTATTGGCACCAAAGTTTATGTTTTTTGAATAGCCACTTTTTGACTTTATCTGTAACCCAGCTATCTTTTTTCTATGAATGCTTGTTGAAGGAATGTGTAGTCTTACTGCTTCATTGTATTTATCAACAAACAAAATGTGTTTTTCTGACTCTGAAAGCCAATTTCTTAACTAGTCATATATTCTGCAATTTCTTAACTAGTCAATATATTCTGCAATGTACGAGGAGAGTGCTTCATAATTGGCTTTGCTCCATAAATAACGTGGTGTTAACAGTTTTGTATGATCAACAGTTTCTGTCAATGCAATTGTTTTAGTTAACAGGCATTGTGCCTGCCTTGTTGGTGTGTTTCCAAGAACTCCTTTGTTAAGCTCGAACACATGGTCATGCTCGAACGCTAACCGTGTTTGTTATGATGAGATCTAGATTGGTTTTTGGATGGTTTGTGTAAGAATTACAGTAAGTTGGAAAAGTTGCTGCAAGTGACCTACATCCAGAACACTTTGTAATTGTATGTCTGCAGCATGGTTACCATCTATACTTGCAACTGTCAAGACACTTTCTCTAACATCTAAACATTTTTAGTGCGTGTGGCAGAAATTAAAATCCTCATAAATCAGTATTGAAGCACACCCAAGTGAACACCCAAGTAACTTTGTAACACACCCAAGTGAGTTTAGAGATTGAAATTCTACAGAAAAATCTACAGAATTTAATTGATACACTTACATATAGATTGTTATTCGGGGGTGGGGGGGGCAGTAAATACAACCTAACAGTAATGACTCGTTACTGCTTTCTAAGATCAGACATTTTTGCTCAATGGAAGTAGAGTTAAGTTGTGTTTGTTTAACATTAGTTGTTTTAATGGTTTCTTTAATGTACATTTCTACCCCTCCTCCATGTTTGTTAACCCTCATTTGATGATGGAGGTGGTACCCTATTATAGAAGTGTCTGATGTGTTGATAAACCAAGTTTCTGCAATGAATATAATGTGTGGTTGATACTAACGATCTTTTTAAAGTTCTCAAATGTAACTTGTATCTATCCTGGTTGGTTGAGAAAATCTATAGTTCTTATATAAACAACACCAATTTCAACAGTTTGTCACATCCAAAAAATGTACAAGTTTGTTAAAATTTTGAACTTTTTTATATTAGAAAAAGATTCAACCAACCAAAAATAAAATGCAATAATTAAAAGGTATTGTAAATCAGTCACTGTAAGATTAGTTTTCACTTCATTGAAAATTTCAAAAAATTTTATGGCAAAAAATCCCTTTTGTATAGACTTTAAATAATTTGTTGTCTATAAATTTGAATGCGCTGGCTGTAAAAAATGTTATATTGGCGAAACTACTCGCCATATAAAGGCACAAATAATCAAGCACTATGAAAGAGATAAAAATTCACACATTTATAAACATATTCATTCAAATGAAAGCTGTTTTAATAGTTTTAATCATGCTAGTTTTTTAATTTTGTGTTTGGCCTCCAACAAATTTATATTAAAGCTCAAAGAAAGCATTTATAGAGAGTGGGAAAAACCCACTGTTTATAAACAAGTAAACCATGTAAAAATGACACTTTAAATTTAGTTCCTTTTAACATTATTGGTTCATTTTTAAACATTTGTTACATTTTTTAATTGCATTTTTGTTGTATTTTTTATTATAAGGTCTCCATTAGTTCAACTTAATTTTTCTAATATGATTTAAGCATTTGAATATATTTTAACTGAGGATGGCTATGATATAGTCAAATGTATTTTATGATTTAAATAGTTTTAATAAAAATTTAAAAAATTGTCCTATATTTTAGAATATTTACACATTTTGTGCTGAATTAAAAATTTGGAGATTATATCATTAATTTTTAGTATGATTAGATATTTTATATGATTATGCAATATATATGATTATTGTATATATGATTTATTGTTTTGTTTGTAACAATTTAGATCTTCTCTTTCTGTGTCATTTAAAGATATTTACTTTGTTCTTTGTTTTTTATTTTTGTTAATTTTATTTATTATTTTGTTTGTAACAATTTAGATCTCTTTCTGTATCATTTAAAGATATTTACTTTGTTCTTTGTTTTATATTTTTGTTAATTTTATTTATTATTTTGTTTGTAACAATTTAGATCTTCTCTTTCTGTATCATTTAAAGATATTTACTTTGTTCCACAACATCCAGTTTTAGCAAACTGTGGAGAAATACTTGCTTCCCATCAGCTACGAGTTTCAAATATAAATGACTTCAAAGCAAAAATAAAGTATACCTGTCTAGGTATTGACAATGAAAATGAAGACGTAAGAAATTTTGCTTTGATGCATTTAACGACAACTCTTCAAACCTACTCTTTGTTTTTGAACGAATTACTTGCTAATGTTGAAGCGATCGATCCTTTTGTGTTGAATTTAATTAACACCTTGCTTCTTGCAAGTAAACAAAATAACCCTCAAACATTTAATTATATAGGAAAATGTCTTGGGATATTAGGTGCTATTGATCCTGGTAGAATAGAAAGTTTAAATGAAAACTCAGAAGAAGCAGTTATTTATACATCCATTAGTGACATTTCATTTGGTTGTGATCTATTGAAGGAACTTTGTCGTTCCTTTCTAGCAGCAGGAAGTACAAGGGCTCAAGACTGTGCAGCCTTTGCAATACAAGAAACTCTTCTATATTACGAGTGCACTGATAAACCCTCTGATAGGTGTTATTTTTTTCAATTTTTTTTATTTTTTTTTTAGAATTTAAAATTTTAAAAAATTTCATCTAAGTTTTTAATTTTGGGGGTGTTATTCTTTCATCTCTTAATATTTACCTTTTTTTTTTTAATTTTTAATTTTCTTTTTATATAAAATTCTAAAACTTCTCCATTAAAAATGAAGTTGATTAATTCCATTTATTATATTTTGGTGTCATCTCCGTAAATAGAGTCACTGCAAGCCTTACCTACATATGTCCTAATGACATATTTTACTTTCAATTCTTCAAAAAAATTTCCTATAACAGTTATATAACAGATATAAATTTGTTTAATATAGACCTGGATATCGTCTATGGGAAAGATTTTCAAAATCTATTCAAGAGCTTCTTTATCCACATCTTTTTTCAAAATATGTTAACAGTACAAATTACAACTTGTCTAAACATCCCACACCTCTATATCAAAGCACAAAAGGAAGTTCTTATGTTGATTGGGTATGTAATTGGACTAACCGGCTAATTTATTCACTTGGAAAGACAAGTTGTAAAGTGTTTATGTCTTGCATGTCAATTATAAAACATGATTTGAAAGTAGCCCTTTTTCTCCTCCCACATGTAGTAATTCAAGTTGTTCTTTTAAAAAATGGAGGTTTAGTTCGAGATGAATTTATGGCTGTATTGGCCTCTGCAAACAGTGAAAGCTCTGTATCAGAGTTTATAAAGGCCTGTACCAATACAGTTTATTCTATTATGGATTATCTAAATCATTGGAGTGCAAAGCATATTTCTAAAGATTCATCTCAAAATGACATTCAGGAAATTAAACAGTTTATTTATAGTATTCCTAAAGATATTCTTGCAAAAAGCTCATTTTATTGCAATGCTTTGTCTCGGTCATTAATGTATTATGAACAATACATTGAAGTAGCAAAAAATAGTTTGGAAAACCATTTAGAGTTTTTACAACGTTTATATTTTGCACTTGATGAACCAGATGGTGTTACTGGTGTTGCAGATACAAGAAAAAGGAATACAACACTGCAAGAACAAATAGTTGAACATGAAAGCTCAGGTAATTTTATTTAGTTTTTCATTTTTTGTATCTTTATTTATTTATTTTTTTATTTTTTATTTGTTTTACAATTATTATGGTACATATGTTTTAAGGTAAGTGTTTTAAAGAAGTTGTGCAGTTAACTTAACTTTTAGAATTAACTTTCAGTTAATTCTAAAATTATTAGAATTAACTTTTTGAATTAACTAAACAGTTAACTTTCTTGCCTCTTATTTTATATATAGCTCTATCTTTTTCTATTTTCAACTATAATAAAGTTATTATTATTACTATGATTTTAGAAAAAAAGCCATTGTTCATTAAAGATGTTTATTAAAAATATTGAATAAATAGTACTAGTTTTTCACATTTGTGTTAAAAGAAAAATATTTTTTATTGCTGCATTCACTAACCAAATTAGTTGTACTTAATTTTGTATTTATAAGAGACAGGCATGGCTTCTTAGCCATAGTGGCCTTCACTTTGGGTAAGAACTTAATAAAGAGATAGAAAACAGTTTAAAATTCATGTTTATTTGAATGGTAATATTCCTAGTGATTCTTGCCGTAATAAAAATACTTAGTCCTGATCTGAAAAGCAAGTCAATTGTAAAATGGCATCTTGTTTTAAAACTGTGTTACAAATATTATATAATATTAATATTTCAAAAATTGTTATTACGAGAAACACACTAAAATCACAAAGATGAAGACACTTTAAAAAAATAAAACTTTTAGTAAGGGCTAATCATAAAAAAGCAGTTTTAAGACTAAATTTTGCAGTTTATAAACAAGATTTGAGAAACATCAATTGCTAAAACATAAACTCATTAGCATACTAACGTTTTTTTTTTTCAGATCAATTTTTAAATATTTAAGAAATATGACTGTATTTTAATGTTGTTAAAAATTCATAGGAAATCTTCGTGATGCTGTTGCTTGCTATGAACGAGCTATTCAAACCGAGCCAAATAATGTCAAACATCACAAAGGTCTACTTAAATGTTTGATTGGTTTAGGCCAATTATATAATGGTTTAATGGATGTTAATGGCTTAATAGAAAAAAGGTAAAAATGTAAAATTTACTTTTAACGTTTTTATTTAATTGTAACCACAAAAAAAATTATGTATTTATCATTTTTTATTTATAAATATTTATCAAATATTCATCATAAATATGTTGTTGAGTTGATTCTATATATGGGCAGGTGAAGCTCTTTAATTTTGGAGTTACAAGAGATTATAAACTTCAGTAATCTTTGTAGTAGTTGTATCTCAATTAAAAATACTCAGTTCTGGTCTGCAGATTAGTGCAGAAATCACACAAGCATGGAACCACTCTCATGAGCATTAAAAGTAAAATAAAAAAATTTAGAAAAAATAAAATTGTTTTGTTTATTTACAAAAAATTTATTGATTTTTAGATCACTACTATTTTGTTTTAATTGAATAGCAGTGTCTAAAAGTTTTAAAATTTTAATGTACTTGTTTGATAAAAACTATTAATATTGTGCCCTTGAAAAAAATTTTGGACCAGAACATGACGCAATACCTCTACAAATTGATATTATGTTTTTAACAAGTAGTTTATACTAAAAGTAGAGTCTTTAAATAAATTTTTCTTAAAGTTTTATCTGTTTTAGTTGCTTTTAACTAAGTCAGACTTTATTTTTACAAAACTTGCATTAATAAGTGCTTCTAAATACAAATCTGGTATAATTATAATAAATAAAATCAGCTTTTATATATAAATATCATTTGATTGTCTCATATACATTACAATTATTTTGCAATTGAAGCATGTTGCAGATGAAACTTTCTTAGGTTGATGAAATTTTGCTTGTCCAAAACTGTTTCTTCTGGATTTTGTAAGTAATTTAGATAATTTTATCATGCGTTATGTAGAACCATAAAGTTTTCCTGCATTTTTTGAACTTTTTTGCAACTTAAGAACTTATTGAGAATGTGTAGAAAAAATTTTGAAGACTTTAAATGATAGTCTGAAAAAGATGTTTAATTTTTGTTGCTAACAATTTCCATAATAACAAGTAAGGTTTACAAATTGTTATGGGATTTAATTGAAGTTTTCTTAAATATTTTTTTAATGGACAGTTCTGTAAAATTACGTTGTTGCTGTAATAAATTAGGTAATATATCTTTTTTGCTATTTAGTTATTAAGTTTAAACAAATTAGAAAAAATCAGTTTTAAAACCAAATTTTTAACAGTTTTAAAACCAAACTAAACAACTTTTTCTTCTATGGTTTATTAGTTATTTAGTCCAGGCAGCATAATATTGAACCTGTCAAGTTTCCTTAATGTTTTAGTATAGTAGGGGATTATAGATTTTTTTAATTTTTTAAGGGGATTTTCGATTTGTTTGTTTTGATTGTTGAAAATATTTTGTATACTATTCTTTACTGTTGTTGTTTTTTTATTTAGGCCAGAATGGAAAACAGATCTAATTCCATATCAAGCAGAAATATCATGGAGGCTGGGTCAGTGGGACTCATTAGAAAAAACATTACCTCAAGTAGGGGTTTTATAATGTGTTTTAAATATCTTAAATACACCTTAAGCCTACTAGGTAGTAGATTATTAGAATAATATTAGGTAAATATTAGAATAGATTTATTTTTTATGCAGTCAGTTGCTAATACAGGCCTTGTCGTGAAGCGAGAGCTTTAGCTCCTTTAGCCCCACATTTCCCTAATGGTTTACGGGAGCAATTTATGACTATTGCAAAAGTTTTTTCTCTTAATGGTATAATTATCATTGTAACTAAAATAAAAAGCACAGATTCATTTTTATAAAAAAATAAATTTATTTCATAATAAACTGTAATGCTTTTTAAAAAGCATGGTTGCAAAAAAAAAAAAAAAGACAGCGCCAATTGGAATGCAAATGTTTTTGATTAGATTGGACTAACTGATAAATATAAAATTATTGCGCTCTAAAGTATTGCATAATATTTTTTATTTTATGTAATAAATTATACGTTTGTTGTGTATTCTTGTAACATTAACATTACAAACATTACAAAGATTACAAAAAAATTGTAACAAGTATAAAACCAAATTTTGTATAATAAGCAATTTTTGAAATGTATTAACAGATAGCTCGTGCAAAAACTAAAACCTCTTGTAAGAAGCTGTTTAGAGGAGCAGCTCGCATGGCTCACCATGTTCATTTTAGGAGAGCTTTTCTCTGTTCTTGCGCTCATTTGCTTTGAAGCCTGGTAATACATATTTTAGTGCAGGCTAGTTTCAGAAAAAAAAATTTTTTTTGCAGATAGCAAATGTATTGATGTCTTTAAATTTGTATATTCTAAATTTTAGTTTATTATGAATCACGAATAAATTCTAAATAGTTGATTTATTTTTACTTAAAAACTTTTAGGAAAATAACAAGAACTGGAGTTTATCATTAAGCAATCTACTGTTGTGTTTAAAAAATAATGTTTGTGACCAGTTTAATGTAAATATTATCGCAGTAAGAAATGAACAAATGAATTGTCTAAGAAGTGCTAGCCTTGAATCAGGAGGATATCAACGAGCTTACAAATCTATTGTTCGGTATGTTTATTCAATAATTAAATCACCTATGTTAACTTAAACTTTTTATAATTTAAAGAATTATATACAATCTATTTTATTAGTTTTATTTATTATATTTTTTCTGTACAAAATATTTGGTGCTCAGTATATAAGAATATTTATATCAGATATTATAAGAGTATAATATCAGTATATAAGAGTATTTGTTTTATTATATTTGCTGTGATCCTCAGTATATAAAAAGATGCTTAGTATTTATAGTGTAAGTACCAAATTTTTCTTCACATTAGATTTAAATTTTTTAGGTGTTATGTTTATGGTTGCTCTTCGAAAGATTATTAAGATTATCTTTTAATCTTAATTTCTTCGAAATTAAGATTAAAAGATAATCTGTACAGTGTTTTTTATTTTATTTTTGTCAATGATTTTTCTTTTAAATTTGAGGATTGTGAGTTATGGGTTAAAAAGCTTCCAAATAAAAATTTTCATGAATTATAATTTACTTAGTGTTTAGAATTATAATTGACTTAGTGTTCACAAAAATTTACATAGTGTTCACAAAAAAGTATTTTGTATGTTCTGAAAGGTATATCCTGAATAAAAATTTGCTTTTTGTGAGAAAAAAAATGTGTTTTTCTTTTCTTAAGATATACAGAAAAACAACTTTTTTAAAATAAACTACCATTAATGATAAAAATAAACAATAAATCACCATCAATGAACAATTATTTTTATAAAGAGGTCATACTAAGTTCAAACAGTATATACCATCTCAACCTTTTAAATATTAAATATTGAAATATTGAATCAAGGTTTTGCGTGCTTGTGATGCATTAAATGCATACCCGTTACAATGTCAGCTTTACACAGGAAAACCAACAGATTATCCCTGTCAGGTAAATATTGTTGAGCGAACAGTTTTTTACTTGGTCAGTTTGTATAAAAGGTTGAAAAAAATCTTACAACCAATAATTTCTTCACAACTATCCTAATAGCTAAAGTATTAATCTCATAAAGATGACTTTTGGTTGGTATCATCAGAAAAAGTTCCTGCTAAGCAACATGTAGCCTACTAAGGATAGACCTGTTAACTCAACCAATTTTACCTACAGTAGTGATGCAATAGTCTGCTCATATGCCAAAGAAGAACACAGTTATGCTTCTATCATCCATGTACGTGGCAAGAGAAATCATAAAGACACAATCAGCCAAACCAGTGATAATCAATTATTACAACAAAATCAAAGATGATACTTTAGATAAAATGCTGGGAAAGTACACTGTAAAACAATAAATGTTGTGTTGGCCCCAAACTTATCTTCTGTATAAGGAATTATTTTTCTAAAATTTAACCAACACCATCTAGCTCTAAAATGCAGATATGTCACGAAGATTCAGGTTCCTACAACTTATAGAAAAAAAGTTAATGCAATTCGATGACAAAAAATGTACAGTTACCTATGCAGCTCTATGTTTAAAAAATAGTTCTAGAATGATTTTAACATCTTTTTATATCAACTAAACCAAACAATTACCATAAAAAACTTTAGTTAAGAATTAATTTTAAAAATTAAATAAAAAGGTTTTACTATGCACAAATGTTATGGAATGTTTATTTTGGTTCTTGTTTTTTTAAATATAAAATAATATCTTTTTTTCTGTCAAGAAAAAATAATTTTTTTTTCTTCTTTTGAGATAAGAAAATAACTTCTTTTGTTCTGTCAAGAAAAGAAAATAATTTCTTTTCTTGATAGAACAAAATCTTTTTTTTTTTGGTCAATGAAATTTATTGTCTTGTACGCTTTTTTGAGTTTGTTTAAGACTTTCAGAAGATTATTGAAGTAAACCTTAGGGAACTTCGCATTTAATTTTAAACAATTTTGAATGGATATTTTTTGTCCGTAATAACGCATACTTTTTTTTTTATAAAAAAAAGGTCTCAAACCAGTTTAAATTAACATTTTTAATGCCATATTTTTCTAGTATCTAATGCTCTTGATAGATCAGTTAAGATTCCAAGAACAAATTTGTTATTATCAATAAGAGTCATTCATTTTATTTACGAGATCTAATATTTAATATTTGGTTGAATGTTGTTTTGATCAAAATTTATATTTTACTCACCAATTAAATTAAATAATTAAATTAATAAGAGTATAATTACATCAATTAGTGAAGTTTTAACAAATAAAGTATTATTTCGGGCACTGACTCCTTAAGATTGATAGTAAAAATATACAATTTATTATAATTAATATACAAATTAAATTATAATAAATTGTATATTTTTTTGATTTTAGAGGAACTGTAAAATTAGTCTTAGGTGGGACAAGTGTGGGTAAAGTGAGGCCAGCTAGTAATTAACAATATATTAACAAAAATTATTATTTAAAAACTATTAAAATCTTATCAAACTGTTAAAAAGTAACCATTGTTATATAATTGTAAAATATATTTATATTATATAGTATCATTAAATTATAAAATATTGTATTGTTATATAACAAAGAACTAATAATTACCCAACAAATGAACAATAGGTATTATAGTTAATTTTAATGAGTTGCAATTAATTTATAATTTAATAATAATTTTGAACGGCTTCTAGTCTGTACTGTTATTTAGATTTTATACAGGTTTGTAGCTTTAAAAAATTTTAAAAATTTTTTATTTAGAAGAATAAAAAAGTTTTTTTTATTTAATTTTAAATTATTTTAATTATTTAATTTAAAAACATTCTTAATTGCTCAGAAAAGTTGTGTGAACATACTTTTTTGTGGAGAATATACAAGTACTTTCTATACAAGACTATACCAAGGAAACTTCATTTGTTCATGTGCACTTTTTTAAAATAAAAAGACTGTTGTGGGGAGGTATGCAGTATAAGTTTTCAGTTGTAATCATTATATATGATACAAAATGTACACGTCTGTCCTGTGAGTCTTGTTAGGATGTAAATTAAAAATAATGGCTTATTGGTAGCAGTTGCTATGGTGAATGAAAATCTCAAAGAAGATAGAAATAAGGTTTAAATTGAAATTAAAAAAAAAAAAGTGAGGAAAATTTTAAAATGCATGATTTGCAATCAAAACTTGCTTCAACTTGCAGCTTCAACTGATCTGCTTCAACTTGCAGCTTCAATTGATCTGCTTCAACTTGCAGCTTCAGCTGATCTGCTTTAACTTGCAGCTTCAACTGATCTGCTTCAACTTGCAGCTTCAACTGATCTGCTTCAACTTGCAGCTTCAACTGATCTGCTTCAACTTGCAGCTTCAACTTGATCTGCTTCAACTTGCAGCTTCAACTGATCTGCTTCAACTTGCAGCTTACAAGTAAGGTTATTGTTAAGCTTTACCCAAATAAAAAACTAGGTTTTGCAGTTTCAAGCTTTATTGATAGCAGTTGGATTGAAAAGGTTTTCATTATGGTTTTTTTTTGTTTGTTTGTTTGTTTTTGTTTATTTGATTTAGTGTTTGTAAGTCAAAAAGTTTATTATGCAATCCAAGCATTTCCTGACAAATAAGCAATACAAAGATATTTTTGTCTTTGTGTTACATTACTTTGTGTTAATCGTCTTTGTCTGACATCACAGATGTTGTTTATCTGGCTAGATATTTTAATGGTATTAGCTTATCTGAGCAGAAAACTAGTTAGTTTATTTTTGAGTTAAATTATTTGCTAAGTTAATTGGTTCAGCATTAGTTGATAGAAAGAGTATTTATATATGCATAAAATCTATTTATATGTTTTTGAATGCTTTTTTACTGTCTTAGAGAATGTTTGTTTTTAAACATATCAAAGTTTGATTTAAGGATGTTGTCTGCAACATTTCCTGAGTAAATATATTCTTTCACAGATATTTTTTTTTAATTGAAGTTCAGCCCAAACAAGGCTGCAACCAACCACTATTAAGTTGGAATTCACTAGAAAACAAAGAAAAGAGTTCAAAAGCAAGGAAATGGTTCGCAGAAGACTTAAAGAGTTGTAGGTTGTATGGATCAGAAAAACATGAAGATGGGAGAGAGTTCTAAGGGGTTAAAGTACAGGGAAAAAAACTAGATACATAAAAATTTTTATAGCGTGCAGGATCAGAAGCAGTGATAGGATGTGCTTTGCTGAATGATGAGTCAAGCGAGAATAAATTGTGGCAGATGGAACTAGAGTTGAGAGCTCCTTTGAGCAGTGACCATGATTGTATTTGTAAAAAAAGGAAGAGATACAATTTTACAATGATGGGAGAGTGGCTCAAGCTTGGCAGATAAAGCAGGTCCAACTATATTTACAACACGTTGTTGGACCTTGTCTAAAAGAGAAAAAGCATCATAAGAAGAAACATCCCAAATATGACAACATTCTGTACAGGGGCTTCACCTAATGAAGCAAGCTAATTAAAAGCTTTAGTATGTCAATAGTGATAGCCCTAGCCTTGTCACCTCCATCTAGTGCACTATAAAATCTTTTAGTCACAGAAGTTAGCAAGTCAGCTATAGGGCAAGAAGATCAAAAACTGTGTTGATTGTCTGACAGTAAGTTATTTGACTTGAGATCAGAAATTTAAAATATATATATATATATATATATATATATATATATATATATATATATATATATATATATATATATATATATATATGTATTAGATTAAAGACTTGTGACTTTTGATTATTTAGTAAAGTTTAATCTGATGTTGCATAAAAGTTGCATTCTTTTACTGTAACTGTTGCTTCATGCTCAAAAAAGTTTTATTCAGTCTATTTTTTTTCTTTGAACACCAATGCTTTGGAATTATCTCCTTTTTTTTTATTGATTTATACAGTTAAAAATTTTTTTAATTTTTTTCCAATTATTTTCTTGCTTTTCGACTTTTTTTTCTACTAAGAAACTGTTACACAGTTTTTGGCAATTTTTGAGATTTATTTCACATTGATTCCCTTTTACATATACAAGAATAACTAATAATATATTTTGTGAGGTAATTTTTTTATCTATTGTGAATGGAACTTTTTAATTTACAAGAATAACTAATAATATATTTTGTGAGGTAACTATTTTATCGTGTGACTGGAACTTTTACATTTATAATATTAATTAATAATATATTTTACTATATTATTTACTATATTATTTACTATATTTACTATATTTTATATATTTATTTATTAATTTATTAATTGTGACTGGAACTTTTTACATTTACAAGAATAACTAATAATATATTTTGTGAGGTAACTTCTTTATTAATTGTAACTATTTTATCAATTGTGACTGTGATTCCCATTTTTGTTTGTACAACCCTACTTTTCTGGTTTTAATTTCATATTATCGTCAAGTCAAGCTTCCAGGTAACTATTTGTAAATACACACAAATTCCATGGAAATACGCTACTCTTTTGGTTGAAAACATCTTTTCAGGCGCTAAATCTCCACTACATAAGTTCAATAAATGTTAACTCAATTTTATAAAAATCTTGCAACTTTAAAAACTCTTGTTATGTCCTTGCCATTAGGTAAATATAATAATAAACTAACCTAAGTTTTGTTAAGGTTTTATTGTTGCTTCCACTTTAAAACTTTTTTAAAAAATTTTATTGAACTTTCACCAACCTTAGATTGGTTTGACCAATAATAACTTATAGATTCTTTTCTATTTCAAAATATTGCAAATGTTGTGTCAAGTTCACGATGTAACACCATCAATAATAAATTTTTAACTTATCAAATTTAGATTCAATAATGTCATTTTCTTCTAGCAATATTTTCCTCAAAGACGATTTATCAGCATGTTGCATTTGATTTGAACTGAAAGATAGTGTCCTAATCTTGCTTAAAATGTTTATTCACATATTCTTATTTTTGCAGTTGGTAACAACAAATTGTGAAGACCTCTTGCATTTGGTAACAACAGATTGATTTGGTAACAAGACCTGAACCTGTCAGGTCAGGTTCAGGATCATCAGATCACCCTGCTACAGTTGTTATGTAATCCAGTGCTACCTGCCCCAAGCCCACCTGCTTTGTAGAATGTGCTTTTTTAGGCAAAGGCTGGGAGAAACAAATTCTGGCTTCAAAATCCTCTGCTTTGGGGCTCTTGGATGAGTTATAGGTAATGTCTTAATAAAAATACTCACCTAAAGGCTAGAGATAATGTCTTAATAAAAATACTCACCTTGGGCGGATGTTAACTGCATCCAGCTAAAATTCCCCTACCTTGGGACTCTTGGTTGAGTAAAAGCTAGAGATGGTATCTCAATAAAAATATTTATCTTTTAGCAGATGTTAACTGTATCCAGCTACTGTCTTATAGAACTCCTTGGCAAAGACTTAATGGGTAAGTAAAATAATTTTTCTAACCAGCCTTGAACCCATTTTGCATCATATTTGCATTGAACTCTGCAGTAATTTCAGTAAGCCTGATTCCATCAACAGCTGTAAAATATTAGAGTGCCATGTTGTGCATGTATGATGTCTCTGTTAATGCTTTTGGTGCGCATCGTCAAGGCCACATAAGGAGCCTTATGTTACAATTTAGGGTTAATTAACAGGACTGAGACAAATGCATAGCTCATTGCTTAGGAGGCTGTGCTCTATTCTATGAATCATGCCAAAAGTAACCTAAAATATTAAACATAGAAAACCATCCCCACCACCTAACTGTTTTAATATATCTTTTACAAATATTCATAATCTCCAAAGCAATCTTCCATTAAGTGAATCTTACCTCTTGCAAAATTCACCAGACTTGCTTGCTCTTAGTGAGACTAATATAAATTCCACTATTTCTTCTTCAGATCCCAGTGTTGATGGGTGATATCCTTTGATTGGCAAAAACTCCAATAGTCACATGCTTGGCTTGGGGTATACATACAATAATACATTAATTCACCTATTTGTTTAACTTTTTTTTATAACACGAGTTAAAGTGCTGCAAATACTTTTTTATAAATGGTATATACTGCAAAATAGTTTTAATATTAGGTGTTTGGAAAAACAATCTTTGCTTTCACAACATAATTGCTTTAACTTGCGATTTAAACAAGTTTTTTAACTTAAAAAACTTTTTTATTTGTTATTTACTAAAAAAAAATTTGATTTAATATACTAATATACTCATTTTTTTTATTAAAATAGTTTATTATTTTATAAATATTATTGTTTTGCATTTCTTATTTTTATATTTAAAAAATTTTTTTGTTCCTCTTCTTCCTTGTGAAATATTTTTTTCTAATTTGTAAAATGTTTAAAATACCACTGAAATAATTACTTGCTTTTTTGCTGTGATCACAGCAAAAAAGTAAGTAATTATAAAAAATGATTTTTGTAATGCGGTAATGATTTAGTGGTAGTGCACTCGCTTTTTAAGCAAAAGGTTCTGAGTTTGATCCCCACCACTTGCCTGGTAGTATCGCACTGAACTTTTTCTTTGTGCAGCGGCCTTGTTCGTCAAGGCTTGTGTTTTGAAGTTATAGAGTTGAGAGAGGCTTGTAACCACAATTAAGTAGTCTTCTTGTCTGTAGCCTTCTTCTTAGGCCAATTCTTTGGCCACTTCTTGGCCTTGGGGTGGTAAATTAAAATTAAAAAAAAATTAAACTTGAATGAATGAGTTTGATACTTTTAAAATTGTTTTTGTGTCATGTAATTTAGATTTAAACAAACAAGTTTTTATTACTGTTTATTAATAAAGCTTTGATTTCAGTTTTAAATAAGTATGTATCTATTATTTTCACAATACTGACAATATTTTTTTTGTTTATTAGACTTCACATGCTAGAAGATGTTGAAAGTTGTGCAACAGTATGTTTCAAAGAAAAAAAGTTAAGTGGTAAAGATCTTTTATCTTTATGGGACAAACGTTTATTGAATACAGAGTCCTCGTTTCAAGCTAGGGAGCCGATTCTTAATATGCGAAGAATTTTGCTTCAACTACTTCCTGAGTTTGACCAGAAACAAACACAACAAAATGCTGGCTGGTTGATGTATTCACGAATTGCTAGGAAGTATGTTTTCTAAAGGATTTTTATTGTTCTTTTTATTTTTTTGAAAGAACGATTTTATATTTGTATAATTACTTTACATCACACATTACACAATTATCTCCAGAATCAAATACAGATATCTCCTGGTTGATTGATGATCTCAAGAGTCATAAAAGTCTCACAATGGTATTCATATATCATTTTGAGAAAATATCTGGAATGTATTTTTTTATTATTACCATCTGGAAAACAAAAATACTTTTGTTTTCCAAATGATATTTCTTCAAATTTGGAACATAATCCATAAAGAGGCTTTGGGCATAAATCATAAAGAATTTATTAATTTAATTATCATTATTTAAAGAGTTTATTATATTTAGCTTCTTAAGAATAAAAAACAGCTAAGTATAATAAATATTAAGACTTAAAATAAATATGATAACAATCAACTCTGTTGAAGCTGGCCAAGGACCCTCATAAATCTTTTGTACAAAATTTCCCTAAAGTTCTCAATTGGTTTTGCTTAAGGCATTTTGGAGGTTTGAATTGTTACCAATATAATTGATATATTTCTCCATCCAAAGTAGAGAATTTATAATGTATTTGAGTATCATTACTCATATACATACAATTCTAAAAATCTTCCTCATGTAGAGGAAGATTTTTTGACAAGATTTAAAATGCTCTTAAACTGCTCAACAAACTTTAGATATTTTATCTCATACAAATATCTATTTAACAAATTGCAAAAAAAAAACAAAGATAATAGGGTATCTTTATATCTTAAGTAACCTCAGTGCCCTCAGTCAATCTGTGTTTACGTCATTGCATCAAATTAATCAATGTGTCAATGCTCTGCAATGTTTATGACAAAATAAATCAGTTGTAATCCATGTAAACTTGGCTGCATCCACAAAAGCATTCTCAATTTAAAAAAAAAAAAACAACATTCTTATTAATATTGTTGTGTGGTTTTTTGCAAAAAACAAAACTAATGAAATTAGTATTGTAGAAGAGAGTGTTTATGTGTGTATGCGTATATACATACATATGTATTTTTAAATATATATATATATATATATATATATATATATATATATATATATATATATATATATATATATATATATATATATATATATATATCAGTGGTGTACACTGGACTTTTAGATGTTTGAGTTTTGACACTTACACACATTTTGTAAACTCCAAACTTTTGTATGTTCATGCTTATGTCAAATAAGAATGTTTTGCAAAAAATTGTGGTGGTTGGAGCTTGGGGACAAAAAAAACCCAATTTTCGGGCCCACCCAGCCCTTAACATGGGAGCAACAAGTTGATAAAATGATTTTTTTAGTATTTTTATCTAAGTTTATAATCATCAACAAATTTCAAATTTCATCCAATAGTTTCTTATTTTTCGAAAATTATGACCATATAAAGTTTTAACCCCCCTCAATTTAAGGGGGCTGTAAACTTTGTAGGGTCATAAAAACTAAAAACTAAGAGGTTATTGCATGAAATTTGAAATTCGTTGATGAATATAAATATAGATAAAAATACTAAAGTAATTATTTTATCAACTTGTTGCTCCCACGTTAAGGGCTGGGTGGCCCCGAAAATTGGGGGTTTTATGTCCCCAAGCTCCAATCACTACAATTTTTTGCAAAACATTCTTATTTGACATAAGTATGAACATACAAAAGATTGGAGTTTTCAAAATGTGTGTAAGTGTCAAAATTCAAACATCTAAAAATCCAGTGTACACCACTGTATATGTATGTATATATATATATATATATATATATATATATATATATATATATATATATATATATATATACATATAAACTATATATAAATACACTTTTTTTTAATATAAATTATAGTATAAAATAATTTTCAGTTTTATCATTATTTTAACCATATAATTTGTTTAAAAATCATACTTTAAACTTTAGGGCTGGTTTATTTCAAACAGCTTACAGTTCTCTTTTAAACGTCAGTGACAACAACAACATTGAAATACTTATAGAGAAAGCAAAGTGGTATTCTTCTCAAAATGATTTACACAAAGCTTTACTCATCCTTCATAAAAAATCTGATGATGTTCTTCAGTCACAAAGTGAACTTAAAAAAAAACTTCTACATGCAAAAATAAAACTTCTTAAGGCAAAATGGATGGAAGATACAGAATCTTATGAGCCAAATGCTGTATTGCTACAGTATAAAGAGGCTGTAAATGAGTTCAGTAGTTGGGAAAAGGGTCATTTCTATTTAGCAAAATATTATGAAAAACTTATGAATGCCTGCGATGATGACCTGAAGGATGACAGGAAGATGAGAAAAAAGTTTAAATTTTTGACATTTATTATTATAAAAAAAACTTATAACAAAATTATTTTGATTTATCATAAACATTTATATATTTTTGTTCCTAAATTTTGTTTTTTTTTTTATTAATAATTTTATTTCATTTAATTATTAAATATTGAATAGCTTTAATTTTTTATTTAAGTGATTTTCTGAAGTTTGTTATAAAACATTATGGTGAATCTTTGCATTATGGAAATAAGTATATCTATCAGTCTATGCCTCGGTTGCTTACACTCTGGTTAGACTTTGGAGTTGCTGCATATCAAGCTATTGAAGGTTGTTTTTATTTTAGTTGTTGTAGTAATATTATTAAGCAGTATATATTGGATTATATGATAAAAATGGTATTGTATAATAAAAGTATATTGCTTATTGTAATAATAATATTTTTATAATATATTAAAATACTACAAGCAGTTTGTTTAAATATTGAGAAAAATATTTATTTCAAAGGTGCATCAGTAAAATCATCAGAAAAAGCTTACTTTAAAGATAGAATGCAGAAAATTAACGATGAAATTTTGAATCTTTCTAATCAGTTGCCAGCATATCAGTTTCTTACTGCTTTCTCACAGTTAGTTTCAAGAATATGTCACCCTAATACATCTGTTTGGAAACTTCTTGAAGGCAAGTGGTATTATTAAAGTTTATATATAATTATATATCATAAATGGCACATGTTTCTGTTGTCATATGAGTCATGAATGTTGTTGTGTTGCTATATGTCATGAATGTTGTTGTGTTGCTATATGTCATGAATGTTGTTGTGTTGCTATATGTCATGAATGTTGTTGTGTTGCTATACTTCTATTTTGAGCTACTTTTTTTTTCTTATTTTTTAAGTGTGTTAATGAAAACTTATTTACTTTTTGCAAATACATTTTAGCCTATGTATGTTTTAATAGATTTGTTTGCTTACCCCTAAACTACATTTATGTCATTTTTATTTCTTTAATAAGCATTGATGTTTTGTTTTTCCTCTCATCAGGAATCATCATGCAGCTTTTATTTTCATTTTAATTTCACTTGCTTTAAGCATACTATCAAGTGATTGTTTTAAGCTTTATTTATAATTTTAATTGTTATTTATAGTTTTAACTTCAATTTATTGTTTTAGATATTATTTGCTGTTTTAGTTGTTATTTGTTGTTTTTGTTGTTATTTAATTTTGTTTTTTACTTCAAAACAAAAAAGTGTTATAATTATTTAATTTTTTTTCTTTTCTTTTTTTTTTCTTTTTTGTGAAATACAGCGTGAACAAAATGAACTTTCATGTTAAAAAAAGAGTTTCATCATTTTATCTACTATTAATTTGAATGGTTTGAATTTATTGAAGGGTTTGGTGTCTGAGGTGGCAGGTGATTTCGATGCTTTTGTAATTTTTTAGCTATTTAAAGAAGCTAGATTAATCCAAGACTTAAATAAGGTGATATATATTATAAATTTTTATCAATAGCACTTAGTTAACAAACTTAAATGCTTTTGAGGTATTATGGAATACAACTTGCACAAAATGAAAAAGACCTTCTTTCTTGGTGTTTGAACTAAATTGTTATTAAAATGTTAAAAAAGTTATTGAGTTAACATCTGCATGAATTTCTTGCCTTTTTAATGCACATTTAACTGATTTGACCATATCATCAGAAAATATGAGAAGTGGGTACTCTTTGTAAACAGCAAACCATAGTAAGAAGTGCTAGTGTTAGATCAAGAACAACTGCCAAAACCAACTCTGTCCATTATCACATCACAAAATTAGTGTTGCAATTATAATTGGAGCTTAAATGGAAAGTGTGGTCATACTCACCTAACTTAGCACCATCAGATTATTGTTTTTTCAACAGCTTGTGTAATGAAAAAATTTAACAACAAGTAGGCGCTTTGACATCACCTAAATCAAATCTTTGGTTCAAAGCCTATAGAGTTCTATCCCACACGAATTGTTTTTTGATTAAGTGTTGGTATAAGGTCTTACAGAATGATGATGCATATATTGTTGAAGATTAGTTGAGGAATTAAAAATTATAAAAAACCAATATTATAATGGGGCAAATTTTTAAATATTTGTTAAAATCATGTACTTCATGTTTACTATTTTATAAACATTTTCTTGATCTTTTATTTGTGGAAAAATAATTTAAGATTTAGTGGTCTAAAGTAAAACTCTGCAATTAAGCCTCCTAATACCTTATATCTTTTCCAAGCTTTTTAATTTGGCCCTGATAGGACTGTAAGCATGGTATTTTTCCTGAACATAAAAATAGAGAGAAAATATCTTTTGGTTTTGCTAAAAAAAAAAATTTAATGAATGTTATTACAGCTTAAAAGTAGTATTATGTATTTCCCAGGTTTACTAGCCTTGTTCCAAAATGAATGTTAAAAGAAAAGGGTGTTTTTTTTTTAACTTTATTTTTTTTTTTTTACCCAGGTGTATTTTGGATCCTTTTAATTTTAATGCAGATTGCACCTATTTTTCTTTGTGATGTGTATGTGATTGGTTGTTTTTTTTTCTTATTAGTTTGTTAGAAAATTAATTTTTATTCTTTTTAGTTATTATCTGCAAGATTTTTCATGCTTATAAGCACCAAGCTATATGGAGTATGGTAGCTGTTTCAAAATCTTCACTTTCAACAAGAGGGGAACGATGTAAACATGTGTTTCATAAAGTTTGTCAGGAGAATCCTGAAATGACTAAATTCATTTCACATGCTTTAGATTTAACAGATAACTTGTTAGAAATATGCAATCGAAAATGTGTTAAAGAAACAAAACTAAGCATGAGCAAAGACTTTTCTACCCTAACTAAATTAACAAGTGATAAGTAATAATATTTTTATTCTCCTTTATTCTGCTTTTGTGTATATGTGTGTGTGCGTGTGTGTGTGTGTGTGAAAATTTTTTTTTTTTTTTTACAGGACAAGTACGAATTGTTACAATACAAATTGTAGTTACAATACAAATTGTTTGTACAAATACAAACATATATATATATATATATATATATATATATATATATATATATATATATATATATATATACCCACACATACACATATATGTGTGTGTTTTTTATAACATCAAAACTTGTCCTACCAACATTTTAACATTCCAAGAAGTTTCATTATAAATAAATAAAACATAAAAAAATTAATATGGTTCCTAAATTCCTTTAAATATGTTTTAACGTTCTATTATTACTGGTTTTACTATTATTATTACTGGTTTTAGTGCTAAGCTGACCTGTGCTCAATAGAAAACACTAGTTTTACAGTGAAGATTTCTTTACATTTGAAAATAAGACAATAATAAGGTTTTTATAAATCATTATTACTGCCACTAATTGTTACTAATCCCACTATTTTTAGACTTGTTTATTTACATTTATAAATCTGAAATTACAAGTAAATGATTGAAAATTGAAAATTTCTTTGCAAATGTTTTATTTTGATAAAAAGTCAGATAAAAAATACAAATCTCTCAACAGTCCGAGCTTCTTTCTAGACTTTCTAACTGCAAAAAAAAACATTTTGAAAGTTTTTTTGTGATAGCTATAAATAAAAAAGAAAATAATAAAATCTTGAATGTTTCTTTCTGCAGCATCATTAACAACAGATAAGCTTTTAATAGTTATCTTGCTTCTTCATTTTGTACATTTTATGATTTACAATGCTGAAATTTCTCTGACTCTTCAAGTTTAATTAGAGCTTGCAGTGTTTGTTGCTTTGTTTCAGGTAGGACCTTTTTGTCTCCCCAAAGATAACACACAGAGCTAGAGAGTTAAATAACAGGTATGATCACAGAGCTAGAGAGTTAACAGGTATGTCCCATACTCAAATTGATTTTCAATCTTCTTATTGACCCTTTTTAAAGCTATCTATGCCTGTCCAATTTACATAAGTTTTTCTCTTTATTAAGTTTCTCACAGATTTTAGGCTGCTACTTCTTTAGCTTGACCTAAAGACCTCTTCTTTGACCACTAATTTTCTCCCCAGTTAGAGCATCTGTATAGTTAGGTATACGTACTTTATGTATGTTATTCCTACACATTATATACAGCAAGTTACTCAATCCTTTGAGTAGTATTTTGCTCTGGAGTAATATGTTCCAGTTTTTTAACTTAAAAATGAAGAATATGACCCTGACCTTTAGATAGTTCATGATTGAACACTCAAAATCTCCTTC